ATGTAGTTCTAAAATCTTTAATGTAGGAATTCTTTTCTATTTTATTAAATAAAGTTTCAACTATGGCATTTACAAAACAAAAAAAAAAAAAAAAAAAAGATATAATATCTTTTTATAATTATTATAAATTAATAATAAAGAAATATTTTTATTAACATCTTTTTTTTATAAGGTGTTCTTTAGGACCAAGCTTTATTAATATTTTGTTATTGACCACATAGGTCTATATTTTTAATATTATAATAAGAGTAAAATTAGCAATATATACAACTTTTAGTTGCCTATTTAAATGGTCTGTATATGATATTATACTATAGAAACTACACTAGATATTATATCTATAATCTAACTAGGTGATTATCTATTTAAACTCTCTAATCATATATACTCACTAATTATTTTAAGCCAAGTATCTTTATATCAGTGTTGGCCTATAACTTTAAATAACCTATATGATCTTTATGATCTATTATAAATTATTTGATCATATAAAGATTAATAATATGACTTATGATCTTTTTTAATAGTAAGAATCATAGTAAAGATTTTTTTATTAGTACTTAATATGACTGGATGACTATAACCAAAAAGTCATTTAATTATATGATTAAGTTCATATAAGAAAAGAAATAGTATAATATAGTCATCAGCCAACACTGCTTTATACTGAAGTGGGTTCTACTAACTTAACTACACTTGGTTATCTAGTTGGTTGCCTATAGCTTTCTACATATAAGCATAGTAACTGTCTCCCTAATTTTTCTATATTCTACACATTTTCAAATTAAGTTTAAAGAATCTTTTTATTATAGCTAAGACCAATATTAACAGTTAGTGCTAACTATTAAACTGCACAATTTTTGGTTTTACTGCTCTTATAAGGTTTATTCTAATTCTAATACCTACATCTAGTTTCTGAGCTTCTAGCTTCTGCAGTATTGTTAAAGATCTTTACTATCTCCTTGCTCCAGGGATGGTAAATGACCTGAAATGACCCAAATGACATACGTGAATAATGACCGGTCACGTGTCATTTCAAAAGTCAAATGACCTATTAGTGTCATTTAAAAATTAATGCAATTTAATTGGCGAAAATAATCCCAGAATGCAAGAATCAATTTAACCAAAACTTCTTACCTCTCTTTAAATTGTGCCTCAAAATTACTTCCCGAGGTGTTATTTGCGATAATACAGTATGCCATAAATGGCAAAGCCTGTTTTACATTTTATATCAAGTCTGAATTCTTTATTGTATTTATATTACATTTCGGTACTTAATCGCTAAACAATATAAGAGACAATTATCAAATATATAAATATAATCAGCTCTTTAAGTTACATACAACTAATAACTTTAATTTTACTATTATTTTAATATTAATTCATGAATAACCTTTTTATTTAGAATAGCAAAAATTTGCTTTCGGCCTATATTAACTGATCTAGCTTTATTGACCTACATATTTAAAGAAAAAATACGTATAAAAAAAATGCAAATAAATGGATTCAATTTATTATCGTTATATTAGATATAAACATTCATGAGCTAGCATCTCTTTTTTTATTTAAATCGATATTGGATTATATACCATAGTAACTAACCTAGCAAAAAACCCTTCTATTAATTGGTAATACACTTCCAGAAGATTTTTAATTCTTCAGAAAGTTGGCAGCCAAAATGTCAAAAAAAAATAATGCCTAAAGGTCCCAAAATAAGAAAAGCCCCACCTTGCAAAAAAGAATCCCACTAAACTTTTTTTTTTCTTTTTTTTTCTTTTTTTTTTTTATTGTGTAAATAAATAATATTGTTACTGCTTCAAATAATAAAAAAATATTGTTTTTATAAGGCAAGAGTTCAAATTTAAGATGCTAATCACACCTTCTAGCAACCTTTTCTAGAAGGGTATTAAAAAAATTTAAGATGCTAGTCTGACGAAAAATTATTTATTATTTACGAGAAGGCAAATAAAACAGGTGCTTCTAATGAATAATTAAATAACTCCAGTAAATTCTGGATCCTCTGCTGGATGGATAATATGTTCACCAAACTCAAATTCAGGTATTTCATAATTCATGGCTTCTTCATTATTCTCAGTATCTAATATACCAATCCAATTTTCAATCATGCGAAACCAGTATTCTTCAAAATCATCAATTATGTCATTATTAATTGTTTCAGATACCTCATTTTGTTCAGTTACCAGACTATTGAGAGTTGATAGTTGAATTTCATTCGAAGATGAAGATTCTGATAATTCTTGTGTTCTATCTTCTTCATAGGGTTGAACGGGAGCTACAAGGCAAATTCGTTTGTAATGACCTTTAGCCTTCTCAATTTCCTCATATTTTCTCTTGTTTAATATACTACTATGCAATTGACTCATTGCCAACACCTTTTCAAACTTAATTAATAAAAGAAAATTAAGAATAAATATGTATAAAAAAAATAATAATAATAAAAAAATAATAAATAATAAAAAAAAATACTGGTAAACGGTTTTGACTCTTTGTATGAAAAAAGCCCATAGTTGACTATAACTGTTCAACTGAGGCTGAATTAATGCATAGCCAAAAAGTCGTAATGCCAATTGAGATAATTCTGGTGCTAAACCCTTTGCTGTTTCCCAAAAATCAACTATATTTTCTTCAAACTAATAGTATACTTCTTTTTCAAAGGGAAATTCTTCTCTCTGATTGCTAAAAATTCATGTAAAATTCGTGTTGGTGTTTTTTCAAACCAAACATAGTAATAGTAATTTAACTATTGAGCAAAATGCCTATAAGTGGGATGTACGCAATTACTACCAACCGACCTATCGTCTTTTCATACACCCTCTTTATTCAATCTACCTTATAGTATAACAAACAAATTAAAAAACTCACTTCTTATCCAAATTGACTACCAAGAAATTTTGTCTCTATTTGATATAGTCAATATTACTAAAAATATACAACCTCCTCAAATAACTTCTCAAATTAACATACTTACACAGGAAACTCAACTAATACATAATTTAGTCAGCTCAATTACATATCAACAACAACTTACAAATCTTCTTTCAATTATCCAAAATCT